CCCTCTCTAACCCCAGCTTCGTAGACCCCACCCTCGAACTCGACGTGTACGCCGACAAGCCGTGGGCGCTTTCGCCCGTGCTGTCGACGATGAACCAGTTGGCGCTGCACAAGGCGGGCGCGAAGGCGGAACCGCTCGAAGCCCCGACGGCCATGGGCATCTTCCGCGCCGTAGAGGAGGACGCGCTCCACATCCTCGACCGGCCCGAGGTCGGCGTCGCCGCGCGCCGCAAGTTCTTCGGAAACCCAGGCAACCGCGAGCGCGTGACGTTCGACAGCGGCCTCGAAGCCGAGATGGAGTTCGGCGCCGGTGTGCTTGGTGCGTTCCGTGTCTTATCGCGCTCACGCAGACTTCTCCACTCTCTCCGTCACGCTCCCCAACCCCTTCCCGCTCTCCATCTCCCTCCTATCTTATTGGGACGGGCAGCCGGTCACGTACGTGTGCCGCCGCCGCGCGGCGCCCGGCGAGAACCCCGTCTCGCCGGAGGGCATGTATTGGTCCATCGCGTTCGAGATCGTTGACGAGGACGCAAAGGCCGCGCTCGAGAAGAAGGGCAAGAGCGTGCTCGCGCTCGAGGTCAAGGACTCGGCGGTCAAGGGGGCAGATAAGGGGGACAAGGCCGACGGCACGGCCGCGCTGGCAGAGGCCAAGCCTGGAGTGGGCGGAGAGAAGGCGCCGGCTCCTGCCGTTGCAGGTGAAAGTCTCAACGACGATATCGACTAGCGCCAAATATAGAAGCCAAGAATCAGTTGTTTAGATGTATCGATACTGCCTTTCCGCTCGTTTGCGAACAACCTCGCATTCTTCTATTGCTTCTCATGTTCTACTGTAGCGCACGCCTACTTCTTCCCATGCCCGACCCACTGGTCGAGCCAGCGCAGCACCTCAGCGTGCCAGCATCGCGAGTTGTGCGCCTTGAGCACCCAGTGGTTCTCGTCGGGGAAGTAGAGGAAGCGGCTCGCCACGCCGTGGTACTGCAGCGCCGTAAAGGTCGCGATACCCATGCTCTCGCTGAGCCGGAAGTCGAGGCCGCCCTGCACGACGAGCGTGGGCGTACGCCAGTTCAACACGTGGTTCATGGGGTTCCAGCGCTCGTAGTTGTCGCGCGCGGTCGCGGGCGACCCAAGAAACTCGCGCTGCGGGAACCACTGGAGTCAGCGAGTTTCGTAATCAGCATTGTTCGGGAACGCACAAGCTCCTCAGTCGAGTAGAACGTGTCTGCCGTCAGCGCAACTCTTTGCCACTCAACCACTCGCACTCACCCGTCGTGCTCAGCATGCCGTCGTGGTAGACTAGCGCCTTGAAGCCGAACGCATTGTGCCCGTTAATCCAGTTGACCATGAAGCCGCCGTAGGACGCGCCGAGCGCAGCGGTCCGGTTACGGTCTATCTGCGGATACTTGGTGAGCGCGGCGTTGTAACCGGCCAGCAGGTCCTGGTATGGCCCTGGCGTCAGCCTGCACTTTTCTGTCACGCACGGTCGCCCCAGTGGTTCTGGATCCGGTCGCAGAACTCCTGCCCATATCCCGTCGAGCCGGTGGGGTTCACTGCCACGACGAAGTACCCCGCCGACGCGTACACGGCGGGGTTCCAGCGCGTGGACCAGCTTTCGTCCCATGCGCCCTGCGGGCCGCCGTGAATGAGGAAGGCTGGCGTCAGTTGAACCGGGTGTTGGGCTCACCAAGCGGGTACGATGCGGCGGCGTCGTCCTTGCTCCAGCCGCGCGGCTTGAGCACCCACGCGTGGACGCGGAAACCGTCGACGCCCTCGAACCAGATCTCCTCGGGGGCGTGCGCGTCGAGCCGGCCTCCGATGTGCGCCTCCGAGTAGTGCGTGAGCTGGATGACCTGCTCCGCGGGGCGCTTGTGCGGGTCATGGCCTGGCTCGTCGCCCTCCTCGAGGTCGAGGAAGAAGATCTCCGTCGGGTGCTGCAGGCTCGAGCGGGAGATGAGGAACGTCGAGTCAGTCAGCGGGGAGATGCGCGACGTGGACCCGTTAAAGAGCAAGGGTACGGGAAGCCGACCTGCCGCAGGGAAGTGGTACGGCAGCACGCGGCCCTTGTACTCTGCCGTACCGTAGAGCGAGCGGCTGTCGACATCCCAGGCGAGTGAGTCGGGCGAGCGGTCCCAGTTCTGCGTCCATGCCTCCGTCTTGCCGCTGTCGAACGTGTGCACCATCACCACGCGCTTGTCGCTCTCGTACCCGTCCTCGGCCATTTGGAACCATGCGAGCTTTGAGCCATCACGGCTGAACTCGACGCCGCTGACAGCACCGAGCTTGCCCGGCGTAAGCTGCGAGGGTTTGGAGCCCAGCTTCTCCAAGTCTACAACGTAAACCTCCATGCGAGTGTGAGTGGCGACGCTGATGTCGTTAGGCTTGAGCGCCACGGCGACGCGGTGACCGTTGAGGGAGAACTCGGAGATTGCATCCATCTGCGAGTAGAGGCCAGTGCCCTTGAGGATGTTCTCAAACTTGTGTCCGCCGGTAAACTCGGCCTCAGCGTCGGCGCTGTCGCCGCCCCGGTCCTCGTCCCTCTTCTTCTGGCGGCGATTGAGCTTGGTCATCCCAAGTGTGTAAATACGCCCCGGGACGCGCCAAGTGTCCCAATGCCGCACGAAGAGATCGTCGAGAACGAGCCCGGAATCCCCGCGCTCCTCGTATGCCTTGTCGCCCGCGGCCGTCTTGTCGAGATCGAGATCCTTCTCCCACACAGCGGCAGAGAAGACGAGGACCTTGCTGTCGCTGTCGTACTGCAGGCCACTGGGCTCGGTGCCGGCGGGGAAGTCGAGCGTCTTCATCGTGCGCCCCGCGTACTTGGGGTCGATGGACAAGTGGAGGAGCGTTGAGCCGTTGACGTATGCGAGAGTGGTGTTGGAGAGCCAGAGGAAGTCGTGGGCCTGGGATGTCGGCGCGGTCCACAGTTTGCGGACGCGTTTGTGCTTGATTTCCTCGGCAGGCTGGAGCTGCTCCAAACCGTCGAGGTCGAGGATGTAGAGGGTGCGGGACATGCTGAGGTTAGGGGGACCATGGCGGAGATGATGGGTTACAAGATTGCAGAAGAGACGGCGGTGGTAATGACCTTCCCCTCTCGTCGTTCTCACTCCTCTGCCTATCTACGATGCACACTCACGTATCCTCCTTCTCGTTCCACTGGTCCACAACGCTGATGGCGTGCCGCCCGTCCGGCGCGGCAATGGCGGCCTGCGGCCGTGGCGTGGTGAGCATGTCGACAGGTGTAAACTGGCCTGCCTTGTCGACATTTTCGGCCGCCACGAGCCCGAGGAGGGCGAGGAGGGGGAAGAGCATGGTGGCTGGAGGTTGGAAGCGAGAACAGGTGGGCGGTCGACGTTGCTTATGAGTGCTTTATACTTTATACAGGCGGAGTCCACGATGCACGAGGTCGACGGGTCGTGTCCACGCGGTGCAGTCGCTAACTATAGAGTTGCGCTAGTGGGCGCTCGAGCTAGTGAGTTAGTGACAGCGAGCTAGTCAAGGAGAGGTGAGTCGTGGTGAGAGGAATGTCATACAAGGCAGGCACGTCATGGGGGCAAGCGATTGCACGGCGGTCGCTCATCTTCCATGATGGCATCTCGCGTGGTCACCACATGATCTGCACGTGCGCTCTCACGTGCATCACTCACATGACATGACGGCGGCCGCAATGTCGGTCGGTCGCACGAGGTGGGCGGTCGGCTTCGGCCGTATGCGGAGTGCGGCGACTCTCCCTCCCCTTCGTCCACCCACGCACTGATCCCGGCAATCAGAGTGCCGGGCACGATTTACCCACCTACATCCTCACATTCTTGCCGGCACCACCGACGCCGAAGACCATCTGATCCATCTCATCTCCATCTCCATCATCTCGCTCACTCTCTCTCGTCCCACCCTCCTTCCCCGCCCACCATGTCGGCCGCGATTCAGAAATGGATAATGGAGTGCGTTGTTGTATCGTGCTCGTGCGCACGCTGACGCCAGCCCTGCGCACCACGACCTCCTCGCGGTCGTCAAGGGCGCGCGCAACGGCCTCGTGTACGGCTGCAAGGTGCGGTTCCCGCATGCGCTGGTGATGGCTGCACTGTTCTCGCACAAGCCGTGGAGCACGCGCATCCACGGCATCCTCACGGCCACGCGGACACACGCTATGAGCCTCGCAAAGTTTGCGACGATTTACAAGGTCATGCTCATCATCCAAAAGCGGCTCAATGGCGGCAAGGAGCGCGACCTTGATACGTTTATTGCGGGTGGTATTGGCGGGTATGCCGTGTTTGGGGATCGCACACCGGTGAGTGGGCCGGGGGGGATCTTTCCTCCGTGGTGGTCGCTGCAAGGTCGTTGCGCTGCATGCAGCCGCATCTGCACAGCTTGCGTATAATACAATGTCATAGCACCCCCGCTCCGCTCCCACTAACCCCAGATCAACGAGCAAATCGTGCTGTACATCATGTCGCGTGCGATCCTCTCCTTCATCCCGCGGCTGTACAGCAACACGCCCACGCCGCCCAAGACGCCGTGGCAGCCGCTCGACCACCCCCTGCCGCCGCTCACGAGCCCCGAGGCCAACCCCCGCCCCATCCCCCCCGCCAATATCCCCTTCGCGATCGTCGCGTCCCTGTCCTGGGCTGCGGTCATGTACATGTTCCGCCACCGCGGCGAGCGGCTGCAGCCGGGCATTGTGAATTCTATGCGTGAGTCGAGCGAGAGCGGGTGGAGCGAGATCGAGGCGAGGGAGAGGGGGAGTGCAGTGAGCTCGCGTGGAGCGAGGCCGGCCCCCAGCGGCTCCATGCAGAGGTGGAGAGTGCACGAGGAGCCCGGGCAGCTCGGAGGGGGGCGCCCGAGAGGCTAGACCGGAGGCCCGAAGATCGACGGACAGCGAGATCGAGCCGTACAGCGCGAAGCGCATCAGTGACGGGCACGGCCCCATGGCCAATTGGCCGCATCACTCTTCCTCAAGTCCTCACCTTCACACCATCCACTCACACATCAATCACCTCCCCACCCGCACCCACTGACCCCAGGCTACATCTACCACGAGTCGGACACGTGGACGTCGCTCAAGACGCTCCTCTGGCACAACAAGTAGCCGGGGTCGAGCGAGATCAGCAGACAGGCGCGCGGCGCCTCTAGACGCATAGTTGTACCATTACGATGTAAGCGGTCGCATTGGCACGGTCGGCGATAGATGGACACGGTCTGATCGCCGTGCCGCGTGATAGTTTGGCTCCCAAGTGGCCAATGACGTCATCCCGAATACACAGTCGTGCGTGCATATCGCTACAGATTGCTACAAATTTATGTAAACTCCGGACGCAGCAGCGCAAACTCGCGAACGACGCGCTCCGCATCTGTCAGGCTCGCGTTGCGCCCCGTGAGCGCGTACATCTCCCCGTCCTCTTCGCCGCGCTTCCCGATCGCAAACTTCCCGCTAGCCGTCTGCGCCAACACCTCGCCGACGCCGCCCAGCACCATCGCGCGCAGCGCCGCGAGCGTGCCCGATTCCGCAGTGTCCATGCTCCCACAGGTCTCGGTGATGTTATCCGCGTGGAACACCGTCGTCTCGGGCTTGGTCTCCCTCCTCTCCTCCTCCTTGTCCGCGAGGAGGGCGTAGGCCGCAAAGACGCGCAGCACCGCCGTGGCGGTGGGAAGCGAGTCGTGATCCTGGAGATCATGCTCGTCTCCGTGCGGGCAGATGAAGAACAGGAGCGTGGATTCGCGCTGTCGTCAGCTATGTCACGAAGAGAGCTCACTGTCACCCAGAATAGCCGCCGCCGCCGCCCCGCGAGATAGATCGCGCGGCTCTCCCATGCCATCTCGACGTCAGAGTGTATCGCGGCGTCGAGGTCGGCCACGGATGGTTGCGAGCCTGTCACGGAGGCCCCGTCGTCCAAGCTTGCGGCGAGCGAACGGGGTCGAGTAGGAGATGGCGGCTCTGCTGCGAGGTGAGCAGCGTGCTCGCTGGAGGCTGGAGTGGATTCTTCGGGGGCAGAGGCTGGCTCAGCGGGCAATTCGATCGAAGCCGGAACGGGTGTTGGTTTTTGGGTATCGCCAGGTGTCGTTTCCAGAGGCGTCGCAGCTATACCTGCGGGATGATCCTCGGCCGCAGACGCAAGCTGCAAAGAGGACGAGAGCTCGCCGTCCGCAGCCGTCGGTCCAAGAGTTGCTCCCCCTTCTGCATCCGCCTGCTGTTTATCTGGACGCATTGCTGAAGTCTGGCCGTCCGCGGTGTTCGTCCTGTCGTCCTCCACCTTGACGTCCTCTTCACCCTTCTCAGCCTTCGCGACTTCCCCTTCGTGCTCAGCCGACGAAAACTTAAAATCGTCCCGCTCCTTTGCCTCCTCTTCCACTGAATCCGCCTTGGCGTCACTGACATCGCTATGAGCAGGTGTCGCAGCCCCGCTTCGTCCAATCTCCTGGCTGAGTCTGCTCTCAGGCTTTGGCGACGAGCTCAGGCCAAACACCGCACCGACATTGCCCACGGCATCGCCGAACGAGATACCCAAGCTGGGCCAGCGTGGCTTGTGTGTCGCCCCGGTCGGTCTAGGTGCTGATCGCTCCGGCTTCTCCCTCTCATCCACGCTCTTGCTTAGCCCCGACGGGCCGACCGTCGGCGTGGGCGTCGGCACAGGCGCAGGCGTCGCCGACCTCGACGCGGGTGCGGACGCAGCAAAGCCGACCCAAGATAACGGGGAAGCCAGGCCCCACGACGTCCTCCGCGTATCCGCCTCCACCACCTTGAGGAGGTCCTTCTTCAGTGGCGGCGGCTTTCTTCTGAAACCGAAACCTAGCGAGTGGCGCTCTGGCTTGGGCGCAGGCGGCTGGGGAAGAGCGACGAGACGAGCGAGGAGGAAGCGGACGAGCGCTTCGCCCTCTGAACCGCGCGGGGTAGCTCCAGCAACCATGAGGGGTCGCTTGGGGGAAACGAGGCCCGCGCCGGCTTCCCCTTCGCCTTCGACCAGCGAGTTGAGCGCCTCACGGAGCGCGACATCTTCCAGCTCGGCCGGATAACCGCCCAGCCACATATGCAGTGGATCTGAAGGCCCCGGGCTCATGTACGCTGCTTCAAGGGCGAAAGCGAAACGCGTCCAGTAGCGCTCGAGAAGGGACGCGAACGCCGGAGTGGGTGGGAGGTGGGACTCGAGGGAGGCATGAAGGAGCTGCGTATGAGTGGGCTGACGCAAGAAGGGAAGGTGGAGGCTTGGTGTAAGACATACACAAAAGTCATCGTATCCTCGCCGCAGGCCCTCGATCAACATGCCGTCGGACGGCGGAGGCGGCGGAGGTGGCGCGTCTTTGGCAACCTCCTTGTCTTTGTCCTTGACCTCACGAGGCAAAGCAACATTCTTGCGTCAGTTCCTCGAATGCAGAATAGCATACAATGTAAATGAACCAGTTTGGCTCGGGTGAGTAGACGAGGAGGCGCTGGTGAGCGGCGTGGATGGCCCAGTAAGGCGCGTTGTCTTCGGCCGCAACCATGCTGCGGGTCAGTACTAAGTCCGGCCGTGTGCGGTTTCCGCATCAACGTACTCGGCAAACCCCATGAGACCTTTGGCGAGGCCGACCTGCCTGAGCATACGATCGCGACTTACACCGCCTGCTTCGCGGGCGGTGTAGAAGACTATCTGTGCTGCCTCGCGGAGGTCATCCTCAAGATCGCGGTCGCGGTCGCGGTCGCGGTCTTGTTCGGCGGCAGCGACTGGGTGGTGTTTGGCCTTTGGAGAAGGTGAGGAATGTGCAAGAGCATGTGCATCTGGAGTAACTTTGGGAGGCTTGCGTGCAAGAGTGGGGTTGAAGATGACAAAGTGGGCTAGGGAAGGGTGGTCTGCGGATGAGAGCATTGCATGATGAGGCCTTGCCGGGGGGGGGGGGGGGTTGGGGGGGGGGGGGGGGGGGGGGGGGGGGGGGCTTGGGAGGCGGAGGCGGAGGCGGAGATGGGATGCAAGTGCCGAGAGGTGACAGGGGAGGTGGAAGTGATGGCAGGTGTAGGTGTTTTGTGATTGATCGAAATGACGAGTCGAGTCGGGAGGCGGAGAGGCGGAGAGGCGGAGATCGCGGAGAGTCGGAATGCGGATGTACGGAGAGAGCGCTGGATCGCTGGAGTGTGGCTCCGGTGCGAAGTGAAGTGGGCCGGAGCAGACGTTGATTGAGAATTGATTCCGCTATACAGGGTGAGTCAAGTCCTCGGGATAATGGACCCGATACGATGAGATCGGAGAGCCGTTCGAGGGGTCAAGGGGTCAAGGGGAGAGCGGAACTGCCGTTGATATGTTATAAGCGACGGGAGTAAATATAGCGCGGGTTTATGTACATGTACAACCTCGGCAAGAATGGAACCGGACAAGCGGGGTCAAGGCAATACGAAGACCGGGGGGCCGGTTAAGGGCCTTAGTAGGAGATGATTAGTGAGATCGGCAGTTACGAATCCCTTAGCTTAGCCTATCACGCAAGGTGGGAGAATCTTTGGGTGGCATGCTCCGCTGAGTGATGGCCGCTGGCCGTTGCCCGAGTCGCGAGTCGGGCCATCACCACACCACATCGCTCGCTGATCAACCCGCTCCAATACATACCCCGACACACGCACAAACTCCTCCCCGCCGCCTTCGTCTCTTGCCATCTCTCGACTCTCGCTTTCTTGCACTTCTTGACATCTCCCTCCTCTGTCTCTCTCTCTCTCTTCTTGATCTTTCACTAATAATATCTATCCATCCACCAATCTCTCGCTCTCATTGTTCCTCTCACCGCCTGCTCTTCTT